GGACGGTTAATCACAATCTAGACCAGCACAAACTGTCCCAGCCCGTAAATTAAAGAGGTAGACCATGAACCAGATCAAATTATATTCATAGTTTTACGGTCGGAATCACCGTACGGTATGATCTAAAACGCAGTTTGTCATATGGTTTGATCTAGATTCCTAGCTCTGGATTGAATGTTCAACTCAAAACATATAATCAACCAATTGGCCGAAGGTAAAACTAGTGATAATAAGCAATGCAGTCAAAATCGCGCTTTAAAACTAAAAAACTTACGCTTTTACCCTTTTAAGTCACCAAAACCCTTCTACGTAGAATCGTGAGTTTTCCTTGCAAATGTAGTCAAAATCTACGTTTTAACACTTAAAAACTTACGATTTTACACTTCTAGGTCACCCAACCGCTTCTAGGTAGAATGACGCTTTTGACTGAATCTACACATATTATAAAAGCTGGAAGCCAAAAACCGGATGCCCATTTCAAATTTCCGCTTCAGAGTGTGTTTTGCGGGAGGGTGTTTTGGGTAATCGACATCTTGGAAGCGCGTAACGAAGGAGGAAAAAAACTGGACATAAGCCTTTCTTGTGCCGAAATCTTATGCAAAGGGCCAATAGGCAGCAGTTGTATTATTGGAAAAAGGAAACTGACTACAATGACCAGCTTCCAATGAACCCAACCGCCAATAAAGCCTCCCCTCCGGTCAATTACCCATTGTGGCTAAATAATTGTCACAGTTTGTTTGGTTTCACTGGCATAAGTACTAAGTAGTAGCCTTATTAGTAATAGCCTTAATGTGATTATAGTATATGTATTTAGGTTGGTTCATTGTTCTAATGATAATTTGACAGCTTTGTTGTTAGTGTGTGGTATTGTTATTGTAGTATTTCACTCAAATTGGTTAAATACCCATAACACATTTATCCTTCTCATACCAAAGAAATAAAAATCAATCTTATTCTTTTATAACACTGTGTTAACATAAAGTGGGGATTGACGTCTCATTCGAAAACTTACTCTGTTTGTAGACGGTATATAAGAGTGTGAGGACGTTGACGATGATCATGATTTTTTATGTGAATGGATCATCAACTAACGATATATATATATGGGGAGTTCTACAGTACCCCGGGTGAAATTCGGGGTACCGCATACCTTGAGTAAGAAAACGCTATCCAGAACTTGAATTGACTGCTCTTTCGGACATGATACTATACTCTAACCCATAAAGATCAAAATCTAGGTCTTAATTCTCTAAATATTATACCCCGAGATCAATTTAATTAGGAACATTAATCGACGATTATGATTCTCCCAAATATAGGCAAAAAAATCAATGCATCATCTTAGGGTTTATTGATTTAGATAATTAGGACCTAGGGTTCACTCATTAAGGATTAGGGTATATTATCATGCCCAAAAATCCTGCTAATTCGAGGTCTAAATAGTGTTTTCATACTCAAGGTATGCGGTACCCCGGATTTCACCCGGGGTACCGTAGAAGGCACCATATATATATATATATATGGCAAAGGCTAGCGTACGACTGACGTACGTTTTACGCTTGTGTTCACACTTGATTTTTCCACTTCAATATATTTCGTTGAATCAGAACCGTTGGTCATTATTTTTTTAGATTAAATGAAACTTGGGGCATGAGTTAGTGAATTTGGGACTGGGGTTCACCCATTAGAGGTTAGGGTATAGTATCATGCCCCAAACTCCGGTTAAATCGGGCTCTAAATAGTAAAACTCGACAGGCGTACAATGTACGACTGATGTATGCCAGCATGGTGTGTTTTATTATTTTCAGTAGAAGAATGTCAATAGAATAAAGTCATAGTGCAATTTAGTAGAAGAATGTCAGTAGCATCATCTTTCTACACCTGGTGTGTTTTATTATTTTCAATTTGAAAATTTTAATTAATTTTATAGTAGTTTGGGTCTAAATTTATAAGGTGATTTAGCAGTTAACTTAAATTCATTGGTGGAAAATTGAACGAGATGTAAAATACGAAAGATGCATGTATAGATTGGCCTTGATGGTTTTATTCATAGAGAATTATAAAATATTGACATGATTTGTACCCAGTCACTCAAGTAAAGAAAGAACACTAAAATAATTTGTATTTGATGCAATTTCATTAATTATCACTCAACATATGTTTGGTGCTTTTATATTTATATTTTATCTGAAGTTACTTATACATTGTAGAATGAGACTATTGCATATATGTAAAAGCGATGTGTAATTCTTAAATTGATATTAATTTTCAGAATTACTAAGAAGCAATTTTATCTTTGTGCAAATCATAATTGAATGGTTCTTCGAATATTTTAGTCTGGTTAACCACTAGCCTTAAACCTCTTGCTAATCTGGCATGATTGGATCAACAATCATGAGACGAGATTGATTTTAAAATGTTGGTTCAAAATCATATACTTTGATGTATTAATGAATTTGTAAAAAAGGACATGTAAATGCGTGAAGATGAACCTGATTATGCATTTTGATTCTTTAGATAAATTAAAAAAATGGTATGAGCCATGAACTTACTATACACTCACTCGATTGGTTAAACGGGTTTTGTTTTTTTTATTATCTATAATAATTAGTTTATTAAAAATATTTGTGATTTTTGAAATATTTTATATGTGATTTAGAAGTGTTTTAATACTGTTTGACTTGATTGACAATTTGTTGAGGGTTAGTGCCCACTACAGTCAATCTCACTTTGGGATGAAATCAGATGGTTAAGATTTGGGGGAGAATAATTGAATGATTTGATATTTGGTAGCTGATTAGTCCGAGTGCAGGCCAGGCTAAGATAAAGAATAATTTCAGATCGATTATTTTGAGAAAATGTGTATTAATGTCTCCCATCCCTAGAGACTTCAGCTCTATTTATACTAGGTAAATAAGTTAAACATCATTAATGTTATGTCTAGCGCATTGAGAGTCGTGTCTGGATGCTCTGAGGGAATTTAATAATAGGTCGTACGCATGTCTATCTATGACATTGTATTTTTCCTTTTAAGTAGTTCCAAGGTTTGTATCAATTAAAATATTTGAGCATCAATCTAACGAGCCAAATTGACATGTGGCATTACGGTTCGAAAACTTTTTTTTCTCTCAAGTGGGAACAATTGTTTCATCGGTACTGTCGTTAAGCGCCCTCTTCCTAGATCTAGGTGTCTATTGGGCCTTATTTAGCTGATTGGGGTCAAGAGTGAGTAAGTGCGCTATTTGCGCAATCTGGTTTATTGGATTACCGATCAGGTCATGCTTTGGCTTATCGGGGCTAACAAGAAGTATACTTATTATTAATGGTATTTGTGGTAGTTGGTTGAAATTTTCTATTTCATCAAGTAAGACCGTGTGGCGGAATACTAGGATGTCATTTGAGAAAAATTGGTGGTTGAGACGGGAGTGGCAAAAGTATAGTTTTATTTTTTATTTTGTAAGTAAAATTTTAATTACACAACAAATTTAGATAATTGTATGTATAAAATAGGTAACAAATCATACGAATGAACTATAATCTTTGTTATTTTATTCTTGATTTGGATGTGTATATTGAATTAAGAAAATAAGAGGTATTGTAGTAATTTGTCTAAAATTTGATAGTATATTTAGTAATTTTCGACACAAATATTACTGCTTTATTAGTATTTCCTATGTACCATTCTTGGAAAGTATATGCTCTTTTTGCTCTTGCTCACTCCCCCTCTCTCCAGTTCCATGTGTTGGTAATTTAAAGAAATTTGTATATTAGAGAGTAATTATGTATGAAAGCTTATAATCATTTAAAATTTTTGACCATCAATCTGACAAACTAGACTGGTGCATGGTCTTGCGGTTCAGTAGTTTTTTCGCTTAAAAATAAAATGTTGTCTTATTGGTAATGTAGTTGAGCGTGTCCTTCCCGGATATAGGTGCATGGGTGGGCTTATGTGACGGATTGAGGCCGAGAGCGAACAGTTTCACTATCTTGTGCAATCAGGTTTATTGGATTATCGGTCAAGTCATCTTTTGACATATCGGGTCTAACAAGAACTATACTTATTATTTGTTATATATATTAGTGGTAGTTTGTTGAATTTTTTCTTTTATTTCATAAGATAGGCAAAATCAAGTGATGAGCATATTTACGGAGTATCTTTTACCTTGATTGATGATAGGAATGGGAAGAGACTTATTTATCCGAATGTTTATGGCTATGGGATTTAAATCTTTTTCATTCTATTAAAATTCCACCTTCTCAACATTAATTCATCCTTGAATCACAAAATTAGGACATGTGTTAGCGCTCCGACTTTAGAGGAAAAAATACGAACTTGGAGCAATTCGAAAAATATTCGCAAATTAATAGATGCAACCGAAAGACAATGAGCCATTGTTTCACTTAGAGAAAGACATACATATGGTGGGTGAATGTAAGAATGGAAAATAATTAATGACAATACAAGCTATATGTAGGGTTCAAATTAACAAGCTAATTATCTGTCAGTCACCAGCGATCGACTAAGACTATAAAATTCATCCTCTTTGCATGTGTTGTGAACTCAACCGAATTAAGAGCTCTGTACTAGATTTGAAGAAATAGATTCGATGAGGTTGTTGAAGTCTCCATGGATCTAGAAATAGTCTGGATTGGTACACGAATTTTTTGAACTAGAATCCTATAGTTTTTTTAGATGATACGCTTTTGACGGAAGGGAATGAAGAGTTAATGAAGATGACGAGAAACACTAAAGTCGTGGAGACGAGTACTAGGATGCCATTTGGGGAAAATATAGGGATTGAGGAGGGAGTGGCATAATTGTACTTTTATTTTTTTCTTTTATAAATAAAATTTAAAATATATAGTAAATTTTGATATTTTTATGTATAAAATTGGTAACAAATCATGGACTATTAAACTTTAATATTTTATTCTTGATATTGATGTACATATTGAACTAAAAAATAAGAGGTATTGTAGTATTTTGTCTTAAATTTTGGAGTATATTTAACAATTTCTTAAATACAAATATTAATACTTTGAATGTAAAAGTCTTGAAGAGGATAAGCTCTTTTGCTCTCTCATTCAAATGCGTCGGTAATTTAAAGGAATCCGGCCAACGGGCCGGGTCAAAGCTAGTTGATAATAAGAGAGAAGTAGTATGCTTGTGAATGATATAAAAATGGGTTAATACCCTAGTTTGGCCCGAAGTTTGGGGTAAGTGACAGTTCTGGCCCCATTTTTCAAATAAGACATTCATGGCCTAATTTTGAAACTATTGGACGAATTTGGCCCAAAATTTTCTTTGACCGTTAATATTAACGATTAAACACTATTCCGTTAGTGACTCAGCAAAAAATCGCTGATGTGGCATGCCACATCATTAAATAATATTATTTTAATTTAAAATAAAAATTAAGAAATTCCAATTCCCCTGTTATCATCCCAAAATCCCTTGGCCCCAAATCCAAACCCTAAACTGAATCAAACATCATCGTCAACAGGAGGCGCCTCCCTCCTGCTACTTCGGTCCGGCGAGCTGGCTCTTGACGCAGACGGAGGAGGAAGAGAGAGCGCGAGCTTAGAATCTTCTGCGGAGAGAGCTGCAGTGGCGTGGCGAACTTGGAGCTTCGAAGCGGCGGATTCGGCCGCCGTGTTTCCCTCGCACAAAGTGAGCAATCGCTTGGATTCCGAGTCCGATAGGTAGAACTCGAATTCCTTCGCCGTGCAGGCGGCGTTGAGCGGCGCCGCTGTTGCTCTGACTCGAATCACGGTGTTGGGGAAAGTGAGCGCGACCACGATGCCGACCGCGGCTAGGCGAGAGGTGGGTGAGATCGAGTTTGCCGGAAACAAATGGGATGGGGCGTGGCGGTCGGGGAACTCATGGGCGACGCGCTTAGCAGTTCGGTGAGCGTTTGAGTCGTCATTTTTGAAAATAGGCTTCCACGAGGATGTTTGATTCCGATCTGAAGGTGAACGAGACAAATTCTTAATATAGTTAGGAAGAAAATGGGTTTCCGATCTGAAGGTGAAGGAGACAAATTTAAAATGGGCTTCCATGAGGATGTTTAATTCAGTTTAGGGTTTGGAGGTTTGGAATTGGAATTTCTTAATTTTTATTTTAATTGAATTATAAAATTAAAATATTATTATTTAATGACGTGGCATGCCACATCAACGATTTTGCGTTGAGTCACTAACGGAATAGTGTTTGACCGTTAATATTAACGGTCAAAGAAAATTTTGGGCCAAAATAGTCCAATAGTTTCAAAAGTAGGCCATAAATGCCAGAACTGTCACTAATGCCAAACTTCGGGCCAAACTAGGGTATTAACCCTATAAAAATTGAACGGGAGGGTGGGTAATACGCGATCCAATGTAGGTAGTGGTGTTAGCAGCGGTAGCCGATTGACTGAGTTTTCCAACAATTTTCTTCTCTTCATAACTGACAAGTCCTCCATCCACCACCACCAACAAACGGTCAAACCCATTCCTTCATTCATTCATGCGAAAGAAGAGTAGCAAGACAAACAAATAAAACTGAGCTAGAAATGGGACATCCGTTTTTTCGGAAACGAAATAATTTAACATATAATATTATTTTCTCTAAGAAAGAAAAATTGAAGCAACCATTTTATACACTGTCAAGAATACGAACAGAACTCGTTCCGTTCGTCGTGAAAGAGGCCGGTTGATAGAATTACCATTAACACCCTACCGCAGAATCTGTTTGTACCTCTATCACAAGCACAACACAAAGTCACACCAACCAACTCCAACAATTAAAAGCCAGAAAGAGACAGCTGAAGAAAGAAAAGAGAGAGAGAGAAGGCCCAGAAAACAACAAACAAGAAAACCCTAAAAACAAAGGAAAAGAGGAACAAATCAAAAATTAAAATCCCCCCTTGGCGAATCAAAAAGGGAATTCCTTTCCTTTCATTTCCTTTCCAATAAGAGCAGCCCAGCCGAATCAATCAACTTCCTCGGCTCCGGACTGCTAGATAAAAGGAATAAAAAGAAAAATAAAAGGAGGAAAAGAATTTTGGGGGGAAACAAACGAGGATGGGGAGGATCGCAAGAAACAGTGGCGGAGGTGGTGGTTCGTATGTCGTCCTACTACAACATTTCTCTTCCTGGGCGTTAATTCAAATACCATCATCAGCTTCATCTGACTGCTCTTTAATACTCTACCTTTTATTATTACTACTACTTTTTATTTATTATTATTCCCCAACGTTTCCTCCGAATTCAATCCCTAATCGTAATTGCGTGGGTTGAATTTTTTGGGGGTTCTAGAAAATTTTTTGGGTTTCTTTTTTTGTTTGGGAAATCGGGAATTCCTTCCCCATCTTCTTTTGCCTTTTTTTCCACCCAAATCTCACACCGCACATCTCAATCGCGGAAAAAGGGATCAATCCCACCTCCACTTCTCACTCTTCTTCCTTCCCACCTCCTCCCCCCAGCCCTCCAAATCCCTAATTCCCCACCACCATTGTCCACCCGCTACGCCGCAAATCCGACCTTCAGATGCCTGAATGAGTTGCAGATGGAGTTGGTTGATTCCTTCTTAACCCGCCTAGCGTTTCTGGGGACGGCTGGTTGATCCTTCTCTGGGAATAACTGCAGTCATTTGGGGTGTTTTTGATCTTCTCAAAGACTTCGACTTCGACTTCGATCTCTGGGTATGGAAGATTCCGGCGGGGTTGCTACTGCTGGCGGTTCGGAGGGTGACAAGAAGAAGCCAGCTGAAGGGGAGAATAAGTCCAAGCGCAAAATGAAGACGGCTTCTCAGCTTGAGGTTCTTGAGAAAACATATGCTGGTTTGTTTCCCTACTATCTTCCTTCGCCACATGCTTTTTTCTTTTCTTTCTTATGTGCTTTGGCTAGCAAGTTCCCTCATTTCCCCCATTTCTTGTGTACGTTGCTGCTATCTACTTCCTCTGTTTCATTTTGTGGCGGCTCAGCTGTACAATAAGCCCTCGCATTATGCTGATTTCTCATATGCTGGCCTTTATGCTTTAGCTCACTGTCTGTGGCAAACTTAAACTACTTCTTGCACTTAAAGCTCTCGCATTTTCGACCTTCATATTAGCTTGCACGCTTGCCCATGCACGCATTTCATTGCTTGTCTCTCTGCATGGTTTGCAGTCGCTACATCTTGATACTGAGCCTAGTCTGGCTTGCCTCTGTTTCCTGTGTCTTGTGAGCTCACGTGGATTTTACGTTCTCCTTGTTTTGTTCAGTGGAAGCATACCCGTCAGAGGCATTAAGGGCTGAGCTCTCGGTACAGTTAGAGCTCTCTGATCGTCAGCTGCAGATGTGGTTCTGCCATCGGCGATTGAAGGACCGGAAGGGCACACCAGGGTCAGGAAAGCGCCAACTACGCAAGGAGTCTCCACCTCCTCCTACTGCACCACCTGGAGGGGAGGAAGTGGTTGCTGCGAGTGAGCCATATAGGGAGCATCTGTCAACAGCCTCTACTTCACTATCGAGTCCATTCAGTCATCTGACGGATCCAAGACGGCTAGTGGTTAGGACCCCGGGAGTGGCTGTTCCCAGGATCAGTGGTGACCTGTCGACAATGAAGAGGTATTATGAGCCACAGCACTCTGTTGCAGAGCTTAGAGCAATAGCATTTGTTGAGGCACAGTTGGGGGAACCAGTGAGGGAGGATGGTCCAATTCTCGGCATGGAATTTGACTCCTTGCCACCAGATGCATTTGGCGCACCTATAGGTAAAGTTTGCTGCTTTTTTCATTTTTCCAATTGTAATTATAAAACTTGCATGTTGCTGCCTGTGGGAAATTTCCTCAAAATTGTGCTTGTTGTGTTTTTGATGAACCTCCATCAATACATTGTCTGCTTAACTTTAATGTAAGACCTAATAAGGTTCTTTTAGTTGGATTCATTATTTGACGTGTATTTCGGATGAGTTGTGGGGAAGTGAGGTTAGAGGGTGAAATTGTCTTTTCAGGCCCTAGCAACGACACGTTCAAGTGGGTCCTATGCAAAGAGCTAAGGTTTTCGATTGGTTCTGCTTATATTTTCCTATTTGTTGTACCTGGTCTTTTAGAGATTTATTTCATTGGAAGTGCTGTATGAATCACCCGAAATATAAGCAAATCTCTTGATGATTCTATGTGCGGAGTGTTAGGGGACGAGAAAGCCATTGCAAATTGAGGTTGAGCTTACTTTGTGAATGTATCTATATCCCTTATGACATTCACCCCAGTAGTCCTCTATGAAATCTGAAATAAGTTATATAAGTCCCTTCTCATGTATTCATTTGTCGGACTAATATCTTGTACTTGCTGACATCAACCCTAGGTTCAATGTCATCTTAGTGCGGTCCTTGTTGGTAAGGTTGTTTTGCTAGAGCTTATGTTTATATGATTCCTTAGCTAAATTCGGCATATCGAATTGTTGCAAACTGATGTCTGATATCTTCTATGGCTAGAAGTTTCATTTATTTTCTGTTCTTTTTGTCTAATAGAAGCCCTCTAGTATCTTTTTGATTGTTTCTTGCTGCTGTTTTAGGCATTACAGGAAATATTCTGGAATGAAGATTTATTGGGTGCCCTTGATTGTTGAATTATGTTTGTCGTTGACTTGTAGTTCCTATATTCATGAATTTCACCTGAAAAAGTGGGTATGCTTCTACCTCTAAGTTTCAATTCAAAGGAAGACACACTTAGTGATAGAGCTTGAAAATTAGACCGACTCGTCCATGGGTTTCTTTGTTGTGCTTTGATCTTTGGAAGACCTGTAACCATGGGACATTGATGTCATGGTTTCAAATCCAAGGGGACTTTACAAAAGAAATAACCATGCATTACCAGATTATGAAATTTGAAAACAGTAGACAAACCTATTACTTGAGCATGTTTACTGATTCTTACACAATCGATGGCACCTTTTGGTTAAAAGGTTAATCTTTAATTTTGGGTTTTCATGATTTTGGGAGAATAAAGGACAACAACTAAAAAGAAAACTGAACTGCCGGCAGGATCTCTTTCCAGGTGGACGAAGTAATAAAGATCAAAATTTGTCATTCAGAAATCAGAAAATTGAAGTTTTGGAGAATGTGTATGGACGTGCAATATATTTTCCTTGCTTTGATACTCTTTATAGATGAATGTAGGTCCTAACTTTTAGGGCAGTGGATATTATTTTTATTCCTCGTTACCACTTTACTAATCGTTTGCGGAAAAATTGCAATAAAGAATATCATGAATGATGTCTAATAATTTATAATGTGTGCTCTGTTTCAATTTCTTAGTTTATCTTGTAACTTATACCAAACAGTTCGAGAGCAAAATATGGTGATTCAAGGTTTTCTCATGACTTTTCATTATGTTACTAGGGTCTGCTGCTACGGTGGGGCATCAGAAGTCATCAGGACGACACTTCGAGGCCAACATGTATGAACGATCTGATGTGAAATCTATCAAGGTTGGGCGTGCTGGATTCTACAAGGAATAATTTTGGTTTGTCGATACTTCTTGTCAATATCCCTATGTTGGTCAGAAGGTTTAACTCTGTCTAGGACCTGCTTAGGGACCCATTCATTCCGATCATCATATTTTAAGATCAAGGTTGTAAGGTCTCTTTTCATAGAAAAACTTGAGAAGGTTGTAACATCTCTGACTATGTGCCTTGAATGTGAGTAGTGTTGATGCATATGTGCTGAGAGTCAAAAGGTTGCGCTCTCTAGTTGGTAACTGATGTAAAGTGGTGTTGAGATCTTAACTTAATAGCTTTAATATTTTCAGAACCCATCCAATGACTCCTTTCATTTGTCATTTATGATTTTGAGAGTCCATCAGTATTATATTATCAGTTCCTTTCTAGTAAGCCTCGAGGAAGTCCAAAGTCTAGCCCTTTTGATAAACCAAAGACTATTGTCATGGTTTTTGGAGGCAATGTGGGCCAGACAGAATGACTGGTGCTGTTTCTTGCTTAGATTTATGTGAGTGTATCGCAGTTTGAAGCCTAATATTTTCTGACTGGAAACTTTAGCAATGTGAAGAGCTTTTTTTTTTTGGGGGGGGGGGGGGGGGGGTAGTAGTTCGAGTCAACTGGTGGTATTTACGATTCTCATTCATTTTTCCTTCATGATGCCTTCCGTATCTATGTTGAGGTCAGTAAATTCACCCATTAGATAATACCCATTCCATCCCTCCATTGTTGCCTCGTTTTTTGTCCCTTAGCTCTTTGAGCCTTTATTTCCATCCTATTAAATTAGGATATTCATATTATAGATTATGTTAAATAATTAAGCACATTATCTGTGCCACATATACAGGGTCCTACCAGAGCACTGCAGGAGTACCAATTTCTTCCACAGCAGCCAAGTGTTAGGGCAGATGGATATGAGCGAATTGCCCCGTTGTACCCGTATGATTCCCCTTCTGATAGTCATATTACAAAAACCATACCATTGCCTGTGGAACACCCCTTCATGCATGGGAACGAGCACTCGTCCTCAGGATATGGATTTCCAGGTCAAGTGCCCAGTTTAAGTCTAATGCCCCAGGAAGTCCGGCAGGGTCATCATCTCTTACCATCTTCTTCAGGAGAGTTTGGAACTGCACCACGAAGGAACTTGTTTGCAAACATGGGAATGGATACACAACTTGGTCCTCATGCTATCACTGGTTTGGAAGATCCATTTACATCATCCGACAGGCGTGCTAATCATGTTGACGATGTTTTGCGCATGGAAAGGAAACGAAAGGTACTGTTATGTCACTTCTACATTTGGCAATTCTTCTGCTACTCATGTCTCTTGATCAACGTTTGTAGAGCGAGGAAGCAAGATTAGCACGGGAAGTTGAAGCACATGAGAAGAGGATTCGGAAAGAGCTCGAGAGGCAGGATATGTTGAGGAAAAAGGTATGTCCTGCTACCCGGCCATTGCTTCTTTGAGCCTGTAGTTTTATGCTTTACATTAAACATGTATTGCTTGATCAGAGAGAAGAGCAAGTAAGGAAGGAAATGGAAAGGCAAGAGCGTGAAAGACGGAAGGAAGAAGAAAGATTGTTGCGTGAAAAGCAGAGAGAAGAAGAGAGATACCAGAAGGAGCAAAGGCGTGAAATGGAGCGGAGAGAGAAGTTTTTGCAGAAGGAATCTCTCAAAGTAAGTTAAAAGTGTTACTGTGTTTCCAAATGTACGGACAATAATTACCTTTCTGTTTGTTGATGCACTCAGGCTGAGAGAATGAAACAAAAGGAAGAATTGCGCAGAGAGAAGGAGGTAGCCAGGCAAAAGGCTGCTATTGAGAGAGCTCGTGCCCGCAAGATTGCAAAAGAATCTATGGAGCTCACTGAGGATGAAAAGCTAGAACTCATGGAGCTAGCTGCATCAAGCAAGGGGTTGCCTTCAATGCTTTCTCTTGACTTTGAATCTTTGCAAAATCTTGATTTATTTAGAGGTGAGTTATTTTGGGCTTATCTCATCTTCATTAGCATCTGCTGCTTTGCTTACCTGAAAGTAGCTCGCAACAATGGGCTGTATCCGTTTATGATATTGCTCTCTTTTCCAAAACTTTCGTTTTCACCTACTTTAACTTGCATTCTGCATTTTTTCCTAAGGAATCACCTATTATTTTCTATGCAAATATGCGGTGGTCACATTTGACCAATATACTTCAGCTATCATCTTTCTTTCTTATGAGGGTGCATAATGCAAAGATTGAACAGTTTTATCAGCTCAATCTTTAATATTTGAACTGCGAAAAGAGTTGTAATTATGTAGATCTACATGAAGATATGTTTAAAAGCAGTTGACATCTTTTTACATCAACTTTTTGTAGACAAGCTGGCAACATTCCCTCCCAAATCTGTGCCTCTGAAGAGGCCTTTTGCAGTGCAACCATGGAGCAACTCGGAGGAAAATGTAGGGAACCTTCTTATGGTGAGTCCAAATTTTTTTTGTACCTGAAATTATTTTGGTGGGGCTGGTATGCACAAATAATGGTATATGTGGCAGAAAGATCTCAGTTTGTTTTTGGAAATCCTAGTCTGCTTTCCCATATTGTTAAATATGACCTGTTAATGAATGATATATTATTTATCCTTTGTTGTGGGTTTACACAGCTTCCATAGACAGACAAGAAAGTGTAAGTATTATGTTTTTGTTTTGTACAAGTAGTTATTTTCAGGTTTGAAACTATGAAAAAAGTAGTCGTTCATAATTGGACTAATATCAGTTAGACCGCTCCCTATTAGCAAGCCACTACACTTTACATTTTTCTGAATATCTGGTTCAGATAATCCGCAAAAGAAGTTATATGACCCTATTCATGGCATCCTAGGGCATGTTAGTCTTTTATAAGGATGCTCCTAAGAAATAAAAAAAGTCTTTTATTTGGACATGAATGCTGCTGAAACTGTTGGAGGGCGTGGTTCACCAGATAGACATCTAACTTGTATATATATGCATCTAACTTACACCGCTATGCAACCTATTTCTATCCTGCTCAGCCTCAATGCGAACTGTTTTTTATAATGCAGGTCTGGAGATTCATTATTACTTTCACTGATGTTCTTGGTCTATGGCCATTCACTTTTGATGAGTTTGTCCAAGCTTTTCATGATTACGTAAGTGCTAATCAGTCCTTTTCTTTGTTTTATTTGGAACTCTTTGTTCTCCCATTGTTTTCACTAATGAAACTGTTCTCTGGTTTCTCAAAAAATGAACTGTTTGCTGTCATTCCAGGATCCAAGGCTATTGGGTGAAATACACGTGGCTCTGCTGAAATCCATCATCAAAGATATTGAAGATGTGGCTAGGACACCAGCCACTGGCCTTGGAGCAAACCAGACCAGTAGTGGTAATCCTGGTGGTGGACATCCACGGATTGTTGAAGGGGTGAGTTCATATGTTGTTGCAAATGAATGTTTGTAGTTTTCATCCAGTTTCCCTGTTTCACTCATTGTCTTTTGGATTGAGTGCAGGCATATGCATGGGGTTTTGATATACGCAATTGGCAGCGCCACTTAAATTCACTCACATGGCCTGAAATATTGAGGCAATTCAGTCTTTCTGCAGGATTTGGGCCACAACTGAAGAGAAGGAAAATTGAGAATCCATATCTGCGCGATGACAATGAGGTAGTTCATTGTTTTTGGTTTGGTTCTCTCTTCCAAAGCAATTTATGCGTACATGATATAAAATTCTTTTGAGCAGTGAGGTGTAATTAGACTTTCCTTCTCCACTTCTTCCTTCTAGCTTTTATAAAATGGTACTCCTAGTGGTTTCAACACCATTTTCTGTCAAGTGATTCTGACTTGAGCAGCAACCTGTTTCCCCTTCATATAAAGACAAGAGGTTCCTTGTATATTTGGTTCGATAACCTCCATGCAGACATCTCTACACAATATCCTTGCAATTTTTTTTACGTAAAGTTAGTGGAAATTGATGCACTGTGTTTTCTGTCATGACTTTCAGGGTAATGATGGTGAAGCTGTAATTAGTAAGTTACGAAATGGATCAGCTGTGGAAAATGCAGTTGCTATAATGCAAGAGAAGGGTCTCTCAAATCCACGCAGATCTAGGCATTGCCTTACACCTGGCACCGTTAAATATGCGGCATTTCATGTTCTTTCTCTTGAGGGGAGCAAAGGTCTATCAATATTGGATGTTGCAGAGAAGATTCAGGTTATATTTTGATGCCAATAGTCTTTGGTTTGTATTTTCCCTTTTCTCTTAATACTATACATTATGTGTGATACATTTAAAATTGGACATATAGAAATCTGGATTGAGGGATCTTTCCACAAGCAGAACGCCAGAAGCTTCAGTTGCTGCTGCTCTGTCAAGGGATACAAAGTTATTTGAGAGGACAGCTCCATCCACATACTGTGTGCGTACACCATACAGGAAAGACCCTTCTGATGCTGAGGCTATCCTTTCCGCAGCCAGGGAAAAAATCCGAATATTTAAAAGTGGTCTTGTGGAAGAAGATGCTGATGAAGCTGAAAGAGATGAAGATTCTGAGAGTGATGGAGCCGAGGATCCTGAAGTTGATGATTTAGATGCTGAATTAAATCCTAAGAAAGAGGATTACTGTACTTCAGAAGCAGGAAAGTTCTCTCACGAAGCTGTACTGGATAATGGAAAGGAAGAGGAAGAGGCTGTAAAAAAGGAACCAGTGTTCACTGAAAAGGGTGATGGTTTATTTTTAATGTGTTCTGAAGACACTAGTTCTTTACAAGGTGTCAGTGATGCTGTCACTCCTGTCGAGAATAGAACTATCTCCAGTCTTGATGAAGAGGATGCAGATATTGACGAGAGTAGCCCTGGTGAACTGTGGGTTCAGGGATTGATGGAAGGTGAATACTCTGATCTGAGTGTTGAGGAGCGCCTTAATGCCCTTGTTGCATTGATTGGTGTGGCAATTGAAGGGAATTCAATTCGTCTTGCTCTAGAGGTACCATCTCTTCTCACTCTAGTCTTTGAAAATGCAATTCTGCTTAAGATTGTTTATTGAGATCAGATTCTTTCAGGAGCGCCTAGATGCAGCAAATGCTCTTAAGAAGCAAATGTGGGCAGAGGCACAACTTGATAAGCGTCGCATAAAAGAAGAATATTTAGTGAAGCAATACTCATCATTTGCAGGAAATAATCTTGTGACCCTAGTGCCAGAGGGTAGGATGAGCCCGCTGGCAGCTCTTGATGAGAAAATCAAGGATGTACCTCCGAGTACTATGGTTCCACATGAACAACCAAGGGACCCTCATAATGATGTAAATCATCATAATACTTTGCCTTCCGAAGTTAACATTCAAATGCAAGATTTCCCCTTGGGTGCCGATAATCTACCGCACCAACATCCAGGACATGTCACTGAACGATCCCGCTCACATTTAAAATCTTGTGTTCATCATAAGGCAGAAGAGACTTATGTATATAGGTCACTTCCCCTTGGTTTAGATCGCAGACGCAATCGGTATTGGCAGTTTGTAACATCTCCATCTCATAATGATCCTGGTTCTGGTAGGATCTTTGTCGAGTTACATGATGGACGTTGGAGGCTTATTGATTCAGAAGAGGTATGCATCTTAGTGTTTGTAGTACAAGTGTCGTGCTTTTGTAGGGTTGCAGCATGTACTTCTCGTCATTTAGTGAATTGCTCTGTGACCAACTAGTCTCTGTTGTCTATTTTTGCTAAGTGCTGTGTGGCCTTTGTTAGATTTGACTAGGTTTACTGTGGCTTGTTGCAGATAATCTTTCTGGATGCTGAACTTGAACTATGCACCTCTTCTCTGCCTATTGTTCTATCCATTTTGTAGCTAGTAGGTGTTGTCTCATATACTTGTTTTTATCCGTTTCGGATGGCTGCAGGGTTTTGATGCTCTTTTAGCATGTTTGGATGTCCGTGGCATTAGGGAATCCCATTTACGCTTGATGTTGCATAGGATCGAAAAATCATTTAAGGAGACTGTCAGAAGGAACATGCTACAAGTAACCACTAAGAAGAATGTTGGTTGTTTCCTCAAAGATGAAGCTGTTGATTTAGGAGATGCTCCTGATGGCGTTGAAAGCCCTAGAAGTGCTGGTTATCCTACTGACCCTGAGATGTGCGAGACCTCTACGTCATTTGCTATTGAACTTGGAAGAAATGGAAGTGAAGAAAACAATTCCTTGAAGAGGTTTTGTGACTTTGAGAGGTGGATGTGGAAAGAATGCTTTAGTTCGATGATGCTATTGTCCGCATCCAAGTATGGACAAAAAAGATGCCCACAGCTACTGGGACTTTGTGCTGATTGCCATGATATATACTTTTACGAAGATGACTCATGTCCATCTTGCAATAAAGCACTTGAACCCTCCAAGAGTAGCTTGGATTTTGTTCAACATCTGTTTGAACTAGAAAATCAAGTTGTAGATCTTCCTCACAAGTCATATGGTTATTCTCCTGTGAGGATCCGGGTACCTAAATTGCTATTAGCATTAATTGAGGTGAGCATTTTATCGATAAAATGAACTGCTTATTGCATTCTCTATATTTTATAAAAACGATATGACAACTTTATCCGGAGCTTGCAGGTCTCACTCCCTCCAGAAGCACTTGAACCTCATTGGACAAGTGCTACGAGGAAATCATGGAGTATGAAGTTGAGGTCTATCTCATCAGCTGAAGAGCAACTTCAGGTTTGTAGGCCATCTTTCCTGAATTCCTGTCCCTTTAAGCTCAAATGCTTTCAATTTTACTCCAACTGTTGGCGAGTTGGCAACAAAAGCAACAAGTAGGTTGGAACCTAAAATTTTACTGTTTGTTGTCTGAAATTCACCTGGAGGTCTGAGGACTGTAACTCTCAGACTTCATTTTTGCAAAACTGAAAGTGACTATTTTGTAAAAATGCCCAAGTTACGTGACTATTTTAGATAATTACCCATCAAATAGGTGAAACTGACCGAAGGTTGCTCTATGTTCAAATAACCATCTAGTTTATCCTAAGCAATTTTGAATCGCAGAGTATAATATTTTGTATGACTTAAAAGTTGGTAAAAGCTTTTATTTTGTTAATGAAACATCAGAGGTTTGCATCACCTGCCATCATTTCTGTCCATCTTCAAACTCACACTGTAGCTGCTCTTCTTGTCACATTTTCTAAACCCTAAACCACAGAAATATGAGCAGGGTTTTGTGTCTGCAGGCTTTAACTTTATTGGAAGCTGCTGTAAGGAAGGATTATCTATCCTCTAACTTTGAAACCACAAGTGAACTGCTAGGATGGTCTGATCCACTGGGATTTTCTACTGCTATTTCAAAAAGTATGGATACGGTTCCTATACTTCCATGGTTGCCACGTACAACAGCAGCTGCAGCTTTAAGAATAATGGAATTCGATGCATCTATCTCCTACATTCTCCAGCAGAAAGTTGAATTCCAGAAGGATAAAGTTGCTGGGGACTTCAATGTAAGTGTTCAGTTTGGCCTGAATTACAATTTGTTCACTTCTTACATGCATTTCTAAGGGAGAGTGGATCCGGTTCAATCTTTCTTACTTAGGAATAATATGTTGGCGTATTAAATTTGTTTTATTTACTTGGTCACAATCTGTAGTGCTATTGTTATGCATAATTTAAGTCACCTCCAAAACGTAGGTGTTGAATCTGGATGTCCTGGCCTTTGAGATCATGTAGTGGTAATAACGAATCGAGCATTCATAGGAAGGAGTAGTGGTGAATTCAATAAGCTTCTAGAACTTTTGCTTCTTTTTTTAATAACTTGAGGGTATTGATGAACTTGGTGTTGTTTTAGGTTACTACGTTTGGTACCTGGAATTGTGTTTTCAACTATGAAAATGAAAGTAAATTTTTAACATAAATGCCACTTTTGCCCATTCTTTTCAGTCCAAAAGATACTTTATAAAGAATAAAACTTGAAAAAAGACACAATCACAACGGAACAATTTCAACAATCTCAACTAAAATCAGAGATTCTGTGACATCACGCAAACAATACATTTATAGTATGTGCATAAAACTCAAATTCAATGCAGTCAAAAGCGCGATTCTACCTAGAAGCGGTTGAGTGACCTAGAAGCGTAAAATCGTAAGCTTTTAAGTTTTAAATTGTAGATTTTGACTCCATTTGTAAAGAAAAATCATGATTCTACGTAGAAACGTTTTAGTGACCTAAAAAGGTAAAAGTGTAAGCTTTTAAGTTTTAAAGCGCGATTTTGGCTGTATTGGTCAAAATCGCGCTTTAAAACTTGAAAACTTACGATTTTACGTTTCTAGGTCATTAAAACGCTTCTACACAAAATTTCAGTTTTTATAACTTATGTAGGTAAAAACTCCACTTTAAAACTTTAAAGCTTATGATTTTACGCTTATAGATCATCAAAACGTTTCTATGTAGAAACTCGCTTTTGACTACATTGCTCAAAATAACAACAAAGTACAAACAATACAATCTCTCACTAAAACGACAACAGAAGGAGAAACCAAACAACCAAATGTGAAGACTTTAAATACTTAGGTACTTATTGTAAAGTTTTTGACAGAAAATCTTGTGCGTTTTATGGAAGTTTAGGGACTAAAGTGTAAGAAAGATGTATAGGTACTAAATACTATTGTTTATTTTGCAGAAACCCATTAACTCAACCCTACCGACGTACCTCATGGATTCGGGCCAATATGGGGTTGGGTTAGATGGGTTTTAAGTGCGTTGGGATGGTTTGTGGGTTTGGGTTGATATTTGCCACCTCTAACATGAATTAGTAATTGCTTGATGCTATGCTTTCTGGTAATCATCTGTTTCCCAAATTTCAGAAGCTTGCTTCCACCAAGTATGTTGTGGTCAACAGTTCAAACCATAATCAAGCCTCTGGAACTATCCCTCAAGCTGGATCATATCAAGATGAGAGTTGGATCGATGTTGGGAATGAACTAGGTATTGGCTTCAGCAATGAACGAGGGAATCGTGGAAGGAGCCGTGGACGAACAACTCATAATACAAGTTCTCATCAGAGAAATATCACTGGCCCTAGATCAGGCTCCCGCAAGTTAGCATCTAGCAGCGAGGGGTTATTGGCATGGAAAGGGCGACCTCGTGCCCGGGGTGGTCGTAAGCGTGGTCGCCGCAGTGCAAGAAGTCGGCAGAGATCATCGGCCAAGATAACAACTGTCGGACTCCCTGAAAGAGAGATTCCACAAGGAACCTTGTATAAGAAGCAAAGAGGAGACACCAGCAGAGAAGAAGAATGGAATATTGAAGAAACTGGATTTCCGGTGGTGGATGAAATGGAAAATGGCAGTAGTTCTGAGAGGTCAGATTATGATGACGATGGAAATGGGCAACAAGCCGTAGATGATGATTTCTACCACGACGATCTGGTGACAGCTGATGACTATGCCAGTGGCGACCTTGCTGGTAAAACTGGTGAGTTTCAGTTGCTGAGTGATGATGATTTGGAGGTGAATGAAGATGGGGAAGAAGAGGAAGAAGAGATTGATGAATCTGGAGATGGAGGTGGAGAAATGGACATCGATGGGTACATAAATGCAGATTCCGATGACGGAATTCAGGATCGAGACAGAGACTCAGATGGGACAGCGTCATCAGGTTTCAGTGACTAGATTCAAGATTTACTGAGAATTAGATAAAGGCAGGCAGCTTCTAGGAATTGTTGTAATCTCTTACTGTTGTACTAACTCCATTATGTAGAATCGCTGAACTTGTAGTTGATCATGAATATATCTAGAATGAGGAAATTGTGCATAGCTGACAGCACCGTCTTTCAAAATTGAATCATCATTTTAAGTACCCAGAAACCACAATGCATATCTCGCTGCTACAGCCTACTGCTTCTAATCGGCAGGGTACCTACGAATTTTTCCGCAAGGAGACGGGCAGACAAGGACCCATTTATTGATGAAAAACATGAAGTAGCGCTAATCAGCCACCAAATTGTATCGCCACAGATCGGTCCAGGATTTGCACTACTACATGCTCTGAGCTACCCCAAACCATAAGTAAACAAACAAAGTAGCTCTCAAAACAAGAATGTAGATTTGGAATATTCACAATCATATGCCTGTTTCTTCCTCAAGCGCCAAAGAGCTTCTTGATGCCAGCCTTCTGCTCTGAGGTTAGCCGTGCAGGGAACCTGATACTGAACTTGATCCTCAAGTTTCCTCTCCTCGGGGGATCTTTAGGGATTGGCATCCCTTCCCCGGTGACAACTTCCTCATACGTCGGATGAATCACGTTTTTGACCGGAATAGTCAAGTTTCTCCCATCCAAGGTTGTGAGATGGGCAGTGTAGCCGGTCAGCGCCTCTGCCAATGAGATCTTTTGCGAGACGACCAAGTCATTTCCATCTCGTGTGAACACACGATGTGGCTTCTCATCAATGACGAAAACCAGGTCAGCAGGAATGATGCCTGGCTGCTCATTGCCTTTCTCGGTGAATGTGATCTTGGTGCCTTTTTTCCATCCTGCCTTTATATCAATGTTTATAATCTCTTCCACCTGCATGGACTTGCTGCAATACATCATAAAAGAAAGAGAAAACAGTTAGTCGGCAACGTTTGACCCGCACCAATGAAGGAGCGTTTGGGCTTCTAATATGCTTGAATATGCTGATTGAGCTGACAGCGATATGGATGTTTGCATTAAGCAATATTCAACCAGCACAAGAAATTCAACTACTCATGATTCAGAGCACAATGCCATATTGATGATTTAGCGATGAAAGTGATCTTGAAATTATACTTCTCCATATTAATGGTACCCCGCAGTTCAAACAGTCTTTTTGATCCACCTATCATCTTTGGTATAAGCAATCATTCCAAATCAACTGAAAAGCCTAGATCAAAAGCAAATAACCAGGCAGACTCGGCAGTGACAAACACAGGTGGGGAATACAAACGTTAAAATCTTAAACAGATCCTCAGACCTCAAAGAAGAAACAATTTCTAAAACCATACAGAACCTTATTCAGAAGTCAGCACCTATCATCTTTGGTATAAGCAATTGTTTCCAATCAACTGCAGAGCCTAGATCAGAAGCAAATAATCAGGCAGACTTGGCAATGACAAACACAGGTGTAGAATACAAAAGTTCAAGCTTTAAACAGATCCTCAAAGAGATAACAATTTCTAAAACCCTACAAAACCTTATTCATAAGTCAGCACCCTCAAGCACAACTCACAAAAGCATCCTAGCTGTTAGTTACCATTGAGAACCGACTGGAATGATTCTCCAATTCAGGAACTAAGCATAACTGCTTGGTAAGTCTAACGCACAAGGTAGAAACTTCTTTGCTTATTTCATATCCAAGGATAACCTAATGCTACCACCAGAAAGGAAAACAAGAGCTAACAGATAGCAGACACTTTATGGTGAACCAAACTAAACAAAACCGTACTTCGAAACCAAGACAGGAGAGCAAAAAACGTAAGAACACACCCTGGTACCGCACTTACTTGCTTGCATCAACTATCTCTCTAGAAATCTTCATCTTCTTGGTAGTACCCTTGTAGAGCTCCTCAAGGCTACAAGGAAGATTATTCTCAATTGGGGCGGCCTTTCTAGGAGCACTTTGGTGCATTGAACCACCTCCTTCACCATACGATCCAAAGATATTATCACCAAAGAAGGCACTAGGAAACCTTGTTCCTCTACCTCCACCCATTCCACCCATCCCCCCCATGCCTCCAAAGGGGCTCGACTGACCAAAAACCTCGGCGAAGATATCATCAGCATTACGAGGATTAAATCTGAATGAAGATGGCATCTCTCCCCCGGAGAAGTAAGAAGTTCCACCGGCATTAGGTGGTGGTACTTGACCCTTTAGACCCTCTTCTCCGTATTGATCATACACTGCCCTCTTCTGAGAGTCGCTGAGAACCTGCAAGCAGAGATCAATCAATCAATCAATCGAGAGCAGCTACAGAAGAGGACAGTATCTCAATAAAAGAAGAGCAAATAAAATACTCAAAATTGAGGACGAGATGCTAAAAGTAAACATAACCACGAGGGAAAATAATCCAGATCATACCCAGATGAAAAGTTTAGACCTTTCTGTGATGAATTCAAGTGCAAGAAGAAAGATAACAAAATTTAGCACGAACCTCATAAGCCTCAGAGATTTGTTTGAACCTGGCTTCAGCATCCTTCTTATTGTTAGGATTCTTATCGGGATGCCACTTCATAGCGAGCTTCCTATAAGCCTTCTTCAAATCGTCATCGCTGGCGTTCCTGTCCACTTGCAATATCTTGTAGTAATCAACCCCCATTGCTCCTTCTTCTTGAATGCCCTCCTTCAATTTGCTGCGTTCGCTAAATATGAGAGAAAGGAACCCGAAAACCCCCGTGGAAAATCAGCCGCAAGAAAGCTTTTAAAGCTGCTTCTTTTCTTTGTTCGCTCTGGAAACTGGCTTTTGCCCACCCTTTCCGAAGGGTTCGCGTTGATGTTGCAGTTGTTGTATTTTGGTAGGGCTCTTTGCTTTGCGTTTGGCGATGATGATTTGAGAAACCAGAGGAAGCTTCTGGAACTGGAAACAACTCACCCACTCCGTATTCGATTATATAACTCGTCGACTTCTCTTTCTTTCTAGCTCAAGGAAAATAAGTCTTTTTTTTTTCTTGGCAAGGAGTTTTTTTTTTTTCTTTTATGGTTTAAATCAAGGTTGTTAAACCCATATCGAACTTTCGGTTGGACTCGATCCGTTCTAAATCGGGTTTCAAAAAGATTTCTAGATAGCCCTTTGGTTTGACTCTAAAGAGGAAGAAGAAGAGAGGGGAAAGGGAGGAAGAGAAACGAATGAAGTGAGATGTTGGGTGGATCATGGAGGTTATGTAAATTTATCTTGTGAATAATAAATTTTTAATAAATATATGTAAGATAAATTTCATTTGAGTTATTAAATCTTTAATTACTACCTTATTTGTATATATATTTAGAAAACGTCTAAAACGACTTAAACCGATCGAACCCCGATTAGAGCATTAATCTCAAACCACTTGTTTGACCTGCTCAATGGATTGAACCGGTTTGACAACGTTGGTTTGAACTCATATGTTTAACATCTGGTTTATAATTAGGGATGACAAAAATATCTGTAACCGTGGATATCCATCCGAATCCGACCTAGTCGGGTAGGGTAAAACCCAAACCCGAAGGAATTTTAGTGGGTATGGGTAAAACCCGAACCCGAATATTGCTGGTAACTGACGACTCCACTAATGGCGTTTAAGTTTTTAACGAAATTCGCTATATTTGTGATTTAAAAAAATAATATTTATCATTGCCACAAACACCAAAGTTATGACTATACAAGTGCATTTTGCCAATTTTATAATATGTCTTGTTCGTCTGGAAGAGTTTTTCTATATATCAAAACTCTCAACGATCAATGATATATGGATTTCTTTCGTAATTTTTCTAGAAATACCACCATTAAACTATAAAATTTCAAAAATACCACCCTTTTCGGAAATTTTCCAAAAGTACCACCATTTCATGGAAACCGCATGAGGAAGGCGTGGTATTAAGGAAAACCACTTGGGGGGTTGGGGGGACAGTTTGAGTTAGGGCGGGTGGCAAACTACCTATCCATTTGCCGGTCTCTGGACCGCCGGATGAAGATGCGATCCGAAGGCGGACGCACCGCCAAGTCAGCGATCTGTGTCGAGGATGCGAGAATCGTTCTCCCGAAGCGTTGTTTCTCTTTCAAATGCAAAAACCTTTAGCGAAGGGGGGAGGGGAGGTTTTGTTTGGTGTAAAATGACCAAACTGCCCCCCAACCAGGCAGTCCGAATAATATATAAACCCTTTCCCCTCCTTCATTTTTTCACACCAAAACTCATTACTCTCTCTAAGATTATCTCTCTATCCATCCCACTACCACCCAAAAACCTAGGAAATAGTGGTCTGTTGGTTGCGACTAAGTCCGAACTGCCATCAGAAAACATTTCTTTGGCTGGATCCAATTGAAATGATGGTTCCAATTGCTCTTGAAGTGTCGTATGCACCACCTTTAGGGCCATTTTCAGGCTTGATCCAAGCCTAAGATGGTAGCTCTGATCCCCACGTGGTGATCAGAGATGATTGTCAGGTTCATCCTCGTGGTGCGTGGAGGTGAATTTGTCGGAAAACCATCCATAGTTTTCGATATTCTCTCCCTCGACAATGGCGAAGGCTATAGACAAGACACTTTATGTTTGCATCCGCTCCACTGGAAATTAGGGACTCCCTTTGTACTTGCCAGTAAGAAATATGCCATCCACTTGCATTACAGGGACGCAGAAGGGAAAACCATCAACAGATGGCTTGAATGACCAGAAAAGTCCTTTGAAATGACGTTTGTTACAAGGCTTCAGTGGCTGGATTTCTTCATCTTGGTAGCGGGAGGAGAATGCAGTGCTGGGTTAGACGCCTCCAACGCCAAAATCAATCTGGGAAGGTATGCATATGATTCTTCCCAGTCGCCAAACATGGTGGCTATGGCTTTCTGCTTTCCATGCCACGCCTTCTTATAGTTAATAATATATCCATAACGACTAGAAATGTCGACGATGATGGTTTTTACCTTTAGGTCAGGTTGTCGCTCTATTAGATACTTGATAGTCGCGACAACCACCCTTGATTTCAACTGCCGATGGCCTTGGAATGTTATGGATGACACACATGTGTGATTGTTTACTGCGCGGGATATTACCCAATGTCCGATTCTCTTACTCTGGATGACCCAAACCCTAGCCTTGCATCCCTCGTGTTGATTCTGGCATCTAACTATGAGCCTCCTTGTGTCGGAATGACTTTTGAGCCATTCAAAACTCCGAGTCATTGCTTCAGTGTCAACAACGTGCCACACCTCCTTCTTCGTACCAAATTGTTGGCCCTTAGTAAACCTAGTGTACTGGACCCCATATTGGCACCTCTGACAGCTCCATGTCGGCATCAACATACCAATTTTCATTTGTAATGTGATTGTAGTACGAGACATGTACACGATCACGAGACACCTCATCCTCATCCTCATCATCATCTGAGTCTGAATCTGGGTCTTAATCATTAGCACCTTCAATCTCGTCTTAGAAGCGTTCTCAATCTCGTCTTAGAAGCGTTCTCTGCTCTCCAACTCGTTTCTAGGATGTTTCTGGTTGTCGAGAGGAAGTTTCCTTCATATGGAATTGATTTTAGGCTTTTACAAGTTTGCATCCCCAACTAACGGTCTACCCATCGCCTATTTTGTTTTAACACAAATTTTGAAATTTCAGCATAGCAAGAACAAGTTCATCATAATCTACAAAATAATATCAATTTTCAATATATTTCATGCGGTCTGAAAAGCTTGGTTTTCATGCTTTGAACGTGCGCTATAGTAAATAGTTGCTGAAGGCACTTTGGTAACTGACTTGACTCAGAAGGGGAGCATTCACTTCGATCCGAGGACCACAAAGCAACATGACGAAATGGCAAAAAGCAAATATAGCAAGAACTGTGATTGAGATACCAGATCACAAATTGACCATTCCAGAACAAAGAACAAAATCAAACAAACTATGTATTTATTCTACGACTCATCCTCCCGGTGCCAATCAGACCAAAACCATCTACCTATAACCGAAGGGACACATATAATATAGGTAATGTTAATTCGAGAATGCTGCTGCTAAATTCTACCGGCATACCAAATCCTTCAGCCTCTTCGGGCAAACCTAGCCAAGGTTTCCGGGACGTGCCTGCATATCAATTCTTCTTCAAACATTCCTCGTCATTCCAAAACTGATCTCCCATCATCCATTTCATATTCCTCTCCAACTGGTTTTACGACTCAAGTCAAGAAGACCAGCACAAACAGGATTATGAACAGAATTATCAAAAACAATATCATCATCAACTGGCCCTTAGCACTAGCCTTCTTCATGACCATCGCAACCTTTTTCTGCAGACAAGAGGACACGCGGAGGGTTACTTCTTCAAAATTATCGACAGGTTTTAAGCGTAGCAATTTAGTACAAGAGAAAAAAAAAATCATCTGGAATCACCTGAACAAAATCGAGCCGGTTAGTTGTGCTGTCCATTTCGTTGCCTAGATCATCAATGATCTTTTCCTGAGCCACCAAAAGTTTCAGATCAGTAGTCAACCAAGGATAAAGTTCAGGTAGAAGGGCCACATTCAGTATTGTTTTAGTCACAAAAAAATACTGGTGAAGTATGGAGGAATTATGGAGGAATACAATAGCCATGAAGTTGGAAATTACTGACCTGTGCAAGAAGTTCTTCGTGGATGGTAAGCCCGACACCACCAATTCTCTCAACGCTAGCACTCAGTTCATCCAGCTCTTCATCTTGCTGCCTACAAAACACCAATTACAGCAACAGCATGAAGACCGAAACATGGGGACCAGTTATAGAAGTACTAAATAAATATATATGTTCTTTCTCCTTCAGCTGTGAAACAAGGGAAAACAATCTAATCAAAGTTCTTAATATGGATTCGAGGTATCCCAAGCACCCACATAGAACTCTTGATAAATAAGTAAATAAATACTACTCCTACTCAAAATGATATCATTTAGTAGAAACCTTTATGGCAAGACGGCGAAAGAATAGGGTCAGTAAGCACCCATCAAATCCTGAAACCTAATGAATTACGAAAATAACCAGAGTCTAGTACGAGAAAGTCAAATAAACAAAATTCTAAAGCAAGGGAAAAGAACTCTATACTTAATAAGAAGCAACTGTCTATCTGATTCAGATTGTATGAAATTATCATTGTCGTCAATGTACTGGTTGGATCCAGCTGTATGTTGAGAGTTTTGCAGCCTCATCAACTCCCTGCGCATCCCATGTAAGCTTGTAGCTCCCCCCTCAATAGCCTCTCTTCCAGCAACCACTGACCTCTTCACATCACCTACCTAATAGGAGTGAAAGGATCTTTAAGTAATCATAACAGAGAAACAAAACATCAAGACCTTGTTTGTCAAACTCAAGTGTACTTACAGTTTCAACAACCACACATATCCCAAATCTACAATATTTAGCAATCAACATAACTCAACCATTGACAATACCATAAACTTTTCAAACAATGTTTCAGAAAACAGTACCTGAGTGCGGGCACTGCTAGTCCATCTTCTTCGGCTCTCAAGTTCCACTTGATCAATGCCATACAAAGAAGGATCTCGAGCTGCTACAGAAATTGCTTTGTCCAATTCATCCACCTTCCTACCAAGGAGAACTGGTTCAACATATGTAGAAAGTGGATTACCGGGTTCAATAAAGAAACGACAATGTTCCATCTACGCAGACCGATTAGCTTGAACTTCCAATAACTAAAAATTAAGACTTGTTGGCTGGGTCATATTGAAAATTATACATCATAGAAACGAATCAGTATTTTGGAGTTGTACAACAGCAATAAGCACTCCCAGAGACTACAAATATAGCCATAAGAAAATCTAACAAGACGACTCCTTCTAACACAAGTCTGGCAGAGCTTTCATTATCCTAACCCAAAAGTGCATCGTAGAGGAGAATCACTGAATCCGAAACTGCTAATACCTGCCACTCGATGCTCTCACTATTAGCGAGAAGCTCCTTTGTGAGGCTCGCTTGCTCTCCGGCATTAGAAGAAAGCCGTTCCCATTGTTGAAATGTTGATAGCAACTTATCAATCTAGCAGACAACAAAACAAGGACTGTGAGCACCTAACTGGGCAAACCCAAAGCCCATCAAATAGAGACAATTCTGAACTCAGAGACACTATGATGTGATCGGCAAACAGATATAGCAGAACGTTTTATGTATGCAAAACTCATAGGGGGAGAAAAAGAGAAACAAACAGACAGTGATGTTCAAACTTACAGAGTCCTGAATCTCCTCTTTCACGATATAAAAGGGATCTTGAGCAGAAGACATGTCTCACAAACAAACCGTATATTACCCTATCCACACAAAAAGAAACGGCAATCAGCACACATAAACCTTCAGATCCATGTGAGAGGCCACTGGAATTGCTTGCTAGCATCATAACCACAAAAGCAAATGAAGGCAGCCGTCCCTTAGACTTGCCCATTACCACAATTCACCAAATCAAAGGTCCGAGTTCAAATCTAATGCAATTGAGGGAGAAAAAGCAATACCTAAGGGTGTGAAGAACGCCTTTCGAGGTTCGATGCGGTTATCAGAATGTGGATTTGTCCCGCTGTCGAACGGAGATTCGAAAACGGCGAAGGTACACAAGGGAGAAAGAGTCCGAGCTCTTTGGCTTCTGCTTATTTTCAGATCTTTTTTTTTTTCCTGTACTGCTTATCTGCTTCAATGACCGCCGGAAGAGGCGCGTGGCGACGATAGATCCCGTGGACGGTTCCGGCTTCGCTTTCGTTTTCTCTCCGTCGAAAGCTCTCGAGCTCTTGCCTTACGCTTTAGCTGACAAGAAAATAAGCGTTAATAATAATATATATAAAGTTGAAGTGAGGTTACTGGTACCAAATAATTTACAATTTGATACATAAAAATAATTTTAATGTAAAATAATTGATAAATTATATTTTGGTATCTAAATTTTATGGTATATTTATATCTAGAGTTTTTAAAATTTACATATTGGTCCTATGTTTGGATTTTTTTTGAATCCATCAATCTTTTTGAACCAATCCATGAATTCAATCCACCATAACATAAAAGTATAAATTTAGTTTGTACAATACAATATATTATATAACTCAACTTTAGGAGAAGATTCGACCATTTTACAAGAGCAAATTTATAAACTCATTTAATAAATTTACGTGTACTAAACAAATTTTTACTAACATGTAACAAAATATGTGACATCTTCCAAAACAAGTGTCAATAAATTGTTATGGTAAAAAAAGTTGATTGTTGTATTGACGGTCAACCAAAAAAATTGGTCAAAACCTTTCCATAATCTATTTCCTCTTCGTATCATTTTTCACTAGTTTTCCATAGACCATAACGCTTTCTTTATTTCTTTCTTTGCCTTCTTTGTCTTACCCTAATTAGTATACTATTTTTATTTATTCTAATCACAAGTATGAACAGGTCCATACACGACTTACCAACAGGCTAGAGAACTAACAATTGAACCATGAACCACTAACTTTTTCAGCTCAATGTCGAGTCCAATTAAAAATAAATATATATGGTTATTACTTATTAGAAAATCGTCATTTTCCACTTTGGGATTTGAGGGCGTGAAATTTAAGCGAATTCCAGTTTGTATTCCTTTTTCTTCTCTCTAAAGTTTTTCTTTTTCACCCGCGCTAGAATTTTCAACAATTATACATGGAATGTTTGGCTAAGTATCAAATAAATATTTTCCATTTTTCTACCAAAAAAGTAAATAATTATGATCTTAAATACATCACCATAAAAGGAATTAAGCCTCAACTATGCAAATTACAGTTTTGTACCTAAACTTAATATATCTTTAGATTTATAACCTAAATTTATTTTTGTGACATATAAGTCCTCAAAATATTGATGAAACAATACATTTTAGTACCTAAATTGTTTGTGTATTACATTTTGGTACATAAACTTTTGAAGTTCTAAAGTCTAATTTTGTATGTGTAATTAAAATACCCTCGAATAAAGGGGTATCCATACCCAACTCATACAAAATTAGATTATGCAAGTAAATATCCATACCCTACCCAAACCCATCTACAAACTTTCAAACTCATATATACGTCACACATACCCTACCCATAATAATCAATGAGTCTACTAGGGTTTTGGTAAATATCATTTACTAGCCAACATTTTCAAAAATCTTTAAATTGGATGTTGACTTCCATATATGTATTCTTAGTCAATATATCATCTTGTCAAGTCAATATTACTAACAACACTGCTAACAAAAAATTAATTTTAGCCTAATAATACTAATAAAAGATCATAATGGGCCACATAATACATGCAAATAGGCCAATTCTGCCCGCGACAAGGCGCGACATCACAACCTAGTTAATATATATATATATATAAACCAAAATGCCGGGTATTAGGTATTATTATAGTGTAGTTTCAACTAATTCTTAGTTTGGGCTCAAGCCCGTGAACTTTTTGAGACGATTGGTTCATTTATAAACCTCTCTATTTGAGACGGATAATTAGAATGGGGCAACTATATGGGAAAAGGATGGACCAATAAAATCGCCAATAACATCAACGATTATCACAAATTCAAAGATTGGAAAACCTTATCAACGGACGTCAACAACATGATATTTTATTTTAAAATCGTAGTTCAATCGTAATTCAATTGTTTCATACCGTTAAAATCTGCCTACCAGTTTAGTCTCTTACATGAGATTTTCTAGGTTGGACTATTAATACTGTACATTTTAAAAACACAGCACAAATCTCAAGAAATTCGTGGATATTTTCCAACCCAAAAATTCATAGTCATGGTCCTCATGGAACATAAAAGAAGCAATAGTTGTGTGAGATAAATAGATGTGTGAGCTAAAAGATAATCTTATATTTTTAAAACAGTTTTTTTGCAAAAGCTCCAAATCGAACCTTCTACCTTCTTTTATGCTATTAAATATCACTTTTAAATTTTGAATGTACAAAAGCACATTTAAAAACAGGGCAAAAAATAAGCGTTATCTCTTTAATCTTGATGCAAGAGTATTTTTCGAAACCCAATCCTCTTCTCTTATCGTCTTATATTTTTTTCTTCCTAAAGTTTTACTTAGAGACACATTATCAAAATAATTTGCTCTACTTTCTAATCCAACAAGCCGCTGCATCGCACGACTCAAATTCCTAGTAGAAAATATAAAGCATATATGATGCATATCCCTTGTACCGACACAACACAGCGTGAAAAAACCTCTTTTACAAGTAAAACAGGGCGTTGCTCGCTAGTCACTAGGGATGGCCTATCTGCCTCCTATTCTTGCTCCAAAGTTAGGAGTTGAAAGTTGAAACACAAACACACTCGCAATCGTTCCACTCATTATGTTGTAGGTGGTTGCTATGGGTGGACGAACAAGTTTATGTGTAAAATATCTAGTATATGATGTTCTTACAACCTTATCCATGACCCCTTTTTGGGCCTTGTAGCAAGAAATGATATTTTTTTGTTAAAGAAAGCCATTCTTGCAAAATTGCTTTGAATCAGTAAGTCAACATAGAAATAATACATTGAAAGAATCCTTTGGATGTTCCAATATTAATAGGTGGATTGTTCAACTCCTGTATCTTCCAAAAGAAAAAAAAAATCTCTGAGAGTTGTTTCTTGGATAAGATATGGATCGTAAAATAGGTCACCCCACTAAAGATTGAGTGGGTGTGGGTGAAATGTGGTTGAACCCACCATCCATAATGACACTCAAATTACAATGTTTATCACTTTTATATTTGATACACTTTCATCTCTTATCAATGCATCTTCAGTGTATTCTTTAGGTAGAAATCATGACTATGTGATCAATGTGCTTTTAATAGATCTAGGATGAGTTTTTGTATGATTTTATGCCGCATTGGCATTGTTTTGAGCTTTTTAGGGTCAAACACATTCCAGGATGACTTGGATCAATGAATGGATAAAATTGGAGGATCAGGATGGATATTTACTATGAAGATCAAGTTGGTTCTTCCATTAAACGAGGCCAAATCAAGGGGAATCCTTTATGAAGTCGTCAAAAAGTCAAAGAGGAATCCATTGGAGAAATTTCAGCCCACACCCACAAGAAACCCACGACGGCCTTATAATGGGGGTAGCCGCTGCTGCACCAGAGTCATCAAGTCATGCTGAAATTTGGAGGATAGAGTTACTTGAGTGCCAAGCAACCCAATGGAGCAGAGAAACCGCCTTTATAGGGCTATCGCAAGCCCAAATCCTAGAGAATCTCAACAATATTCCTTTCTTCGTCCCCAAGACAAGAAATCCGAGTCCGAGTGGTATCAGGAAGCCTTTGGTCGCATTTTAGGAGGAAAAGACAAAAAGACCTAGTTCTTCCTCTATAAATATAGGGTCAGGTTAAGAGATTCAGTAGGCTGTAACACACACTAAAATCACTCTGTCGAATCGAGCAAGGAGCCACTATGCTTGGTGGAGGTTGAATTAGCAGTTATAGTAGGGTGTGACTAGGAGATGCCTTCATCATCGATGGTGGCATCATCCTTCTCTTCTATGTATTGTTAGTTCAACTTCTTTGTTAATGATGTGAATTCTATTGATGCTTATAGCATCTTATTTCTCTGATATTAGGATGAACTTTTCTTCATTGGATGCTCTAGTCATGTAATGCTTATACCATTAAATACTCATGTCATGTGATGTTTATGATATTAAAATGTCTTATTTATATAATACTTTAATCAGGCGATGCATATATCATATATTATGTTATGTTATAGTATAGTATTGCTTATAATATCAATATATGTTTCATGGGAAACCCAACTTATCTGATATGTAATTGTCTTAGGCGTGTATGGAATCGATTGATTACCCATCTGTACTCAACTATGTGCAATGCTTGATACCTTAGATCAACAATGCTATAAACCATCACTATGGTTCGTAGATTCCCTAAATAGTGATGTTCTATCCATACTTCTTTGATTGATTAGTCTAGTGGCATGAAACAAAAATGCACATTGACAGTCATAGTTCCTATTACTTGTGGTGAAAACTCGAATATGATGACCTTAGTGGAAGGATATAGATACAGATAGAAGATGAATCGTAGCTTATCATTATTGAGATGGAAGTGTATGACCATCTTGGATTTCTTTCTTATCGGTTCGTATCGTTTTACTAGTATTTTATATTATGCTCTACTTTATATGCATCTAAAAAAACCAACTAAAAATAGGGAACCTCAACCCATCTATTTCTGTTGAATCATTGTTTGAGTCTTAGATGATTAGATGCGAGTAAGTATTATTAGGAGGCCTTGTGGAATACGATCCTAGACATTTCTAGGATTTATAACTTCTATTGCATTTGCTTTCTTATATTTCTCTGCATGTATCTTCTCCCTTCTTTATGGAATAGTCCCCTAAGGTACAAGGGGTTTAAAACCCCAAGCCATAAAATTAGGGTTTTTAATGTAGTTGTGATTGTGTATGGATTTGTTTGTTTCAGTAATTATATGCTTCATGTATGCTTGATTATGTTGGGGCTTGTCTCTCCAACTCTTCTCTTCTAGCCTACAACTGAGTCTTCAAACTAGGTGGGAGTTTAAGAGGTAGACTGGATTTGAGTGCCTTAAGGCTAATTATAGGTAGATGAATGATCTTAGGGTTCCTTTTAGTGGATGAGACGACCATACCCCTGTTAGAGGAATTCCTTTGTGAGACAATGCTAGAGATGATGCAAACATCATGATAGAATGCTTTAGTGTGCATGATAGATAGGTTGAACCTATTGGGAGGGACTAAGTGGTCATTTCCTTGTACGTGAGCTTTAAATGTGGTGACAATGGGTCTTTGGGAGCATACTAATAGGAGGAAGGTAATCATTGACACCCTCCATTTGAGAGAGTTCCGCACCTTATCATGCAAATTC